AGTGAGAATGTCAAAGACAAAAAAAAAAACACCACAAAAAAAACCCACCTGTCAGAAATTAAGCACAGACTAACTGAAATAAAGAATAATTTATAAGAGCCCAGCCAGCATAGCTTAGTGGTTGAGCATTGACCTATGAACCAGGAGGTCATGGTCCAATTCCCAATCAGGGCACATGTCCAGGTTGCAGGCTCAATTCCCAGTGTGAGGCATGCAGGAGGCAGCCGATCAGTGATTCTCTCTCATCACTGATTTTTCTAACTCTCTCTCCCTCTCCTGTTTTCTCTAAAATCAATAAAAACATATTTTTTAAAAGAAGAAGAATTTACAGGGATTCAACAGTAGAGTAGAGGATTCAGAGAATCAAATCAGTTATTTGGGATATGAGGAAGCAAAAAAATCCAACCAGAAGAGCAAAAATAAAAAAGAATCCAAAAATATGAAGATAGTGTAAGGAGCCTCTGGGACAACTTCAAGCATACCAACATTCGCATTATGTGGAAGCCAGAAGGAGAAGAGAGACAGCAAGATATTGAAAACCTACTTGAAGAAATCCTATATAATAAAAGGGTAATAGGCAAATTGACCCTAATGGCAGAATGACCACTGGACCAGTCACTATGAGGCTCACTGACCACCTCTTGGTCCCTTTCCCTGGCCGGCAGGCTCCAATCACCTGATGGCCACCTGTGGCAGGGGCAGGGCCAGTTGCAGGCAGCTGGGGAAGATGGCCCTGATCGCAGGCCAGGCCTAGGGACTGTACCGGCATATGAATTTCATGTGTCGGGCCTCTAGTAATGACAGAAAATTTCCCCTACCTGGTGAAAGAAATAGACTTACAAGTCCAGGAAGCGCAGAGAGTCCCAAACAAGAGGAAACCAATGAGGCCCACACCAAGACATATCATAATTAAAATACCAAGGATTAAAGACAAAGAGAGAATCTTAAAAGCAGCAAGAGAAAAGCAGTTAGTTACCTACAGGGGAGCACTCATATGACTGTCAGCTGATTTCTCAACAGAAACTTTGCAGGTCAAACCCACCTTTTTATTACACTAAAAAGGTTAAGAGTGTGGAAAAAAAGCTATGACTAATTTTCTTAGAAACATTAAAGTGATTTGTCAACATATATAAGTAGGATCCTAATATTACTATTTAGTATTACATATAGACATATACTAATGTGTGTATATATAGACATATTCTATTATGCAGCCATCCATTATAGTCCTTTTTTTTTAATGTGGTAAAAAAGAAATACAGTTTACCTGTTTTTGCAGAACATCTAAAAGGAACAGGATTCTTAAAAAATTAATACTACTCACATAACTTCAGCGTTTACTAGGCAACTGTCCCCCAGCTAAGTGAAATATGATATAATGTAGTTAAATAAGTTCTCAGGAAAAAGGCAGCAGAGGGCTTGAGTTAGGTAGTCCCAAGAAATTTGGTTGCACAGCAAAGACCAGAAGCTATTCTTGTTTCCATTTCCAGAATCTTTTCTAAGAATATGTTTCTTTCTACTTGAAAATGGCTTTCCCCTCTTCCTCATTAGCTACAGTAGATTATAGTGTTGCTTTTGTATTTAAACTCTGGATAAAAATATAAGAGGAAAGTGTTTCTTCATTACTAAAGATCCACAATTAGTATCTTTTTCAAAAAATATATTTTATTGATTTTTTACAGAGAGGAAGGGAGAAGGATAGAGTTAGAAACATCGATAAGAGAGAAACATCGATCAGCTGCCTCCTGGACACCTCTTACTGGGGATGTGCCCGCAACTTCACAATTAGTATCTTTCTGTAAAAACTGGTGTGGCTCAGTTGGTTGGGTGCTGACCTGTGCACCAAAAGGTTGCCAGTTCAATTCCGAGTCAGGGCACATGCCCAGGTTGCTGGCTTGATCCCTGGTAGGGGGTGTGCAAGAGACAGCAGATCAATATTTCTCTCTTCTCTCCCTCTCCCTTCCTCTCTCTCTAAAAATCAATTTTAAAAACCTAAAATAATAATAAGAATTTTATGGGAGATAGAAAGTATGGGGGTTGAGAGCATTACTTTAAATCTTGGCTCCTTTAGCCATGTGAACTTGGACAAATTATTTAATTCTGTCTGGGCTTCTGGTTCCTACTCTGTACAATGGGAATAATGGGTCCTATTTGTGATAATTGAGTTTATGGACAAAAAGCACTTAGAACAATATCTGACCAACAAAGAAGGTACTCAATAAATAATAGCTATTATTATTATGACTCTCATGATTGTAATTATAATTAAAAGGGCTGAAGCAGTAACCAGAGATAATGGAATGATAGCCACATAGAGTTAGTATGTTTTCGGTTTATAGGAGGAGGTGAGGAAGCTGTTAGTTAATGTTTTCAATTTTTTAATCCTGGAATGTATTTCATAAGCTTTACTATTACTCAGAGGCAGTAAATATTGTGCAATTATATTTTAAAATTTAGGTAAACCTACATTTCAATGTCTCACAATTTTTAAAATACCATCAATTAAAAGAAACATTACAATTTCAGAGATATTAAAGTGTGAAAAAGTGTACATTTTAAAGTTGATGAAATACATTAAGAGATGGAAAACAATACAGTGATATTTCAAGTATCATATATACCCCAGGTTCATCTTTTTCTATAAGAGCTGGGAGCTAAAATCTAACTTCTAATCATTCCTAGTTTCTGCCTCTCAGATTGTGTTTTTTTTTAAGAGATGCCCATGAGAGATGGCAGAAGAAAGGAGACTTTCATTAGGAGTTTTGTCCTTAATATCCAAGTCCTACTAATGACAAACAATAGGCAAAGAAAAAGGCTATGAAAGGCGAAAGAAGACAGCAGATGGAAAATGATCTATATATATAAAAGCCTAAGCAACCGGCTGACTGGCCAGTAGCTATGATGCGCGCTGACCAACAGGGGGCAGACGCTCAACATAGGAGCTGCTGAGCTGCAGTCACTTGGCAGCGGCGGTTCTTGGCTGATGCACCCGGAACCAGAGAGGAGGGAGCCCAATTCCAGGGGGTGTCACCCGAGAGCCGCCCTCTTGCAATATGGGACCCCTCAGGGGAATTCAGGAGCTGGTTTCAGCCGGATCCCCACAGGCCAGGCCGAGGGACCCCACTGGTGTACGAATCCATGCGCCGGGCCTCTAGTAAAGCTATAAGATAATGGAACTCCTGAAAATCCTGAAGAGAGTATTTGGGGGCCTTTCAGGGGAGGAGCACCCCCAATTATCTCTCCAGTCAAAACATCACAGCATCAAAAAGAATGCCAGGAATAATGAAAAACTGTTAAACCGAAAGGCATATCTATTCCATGAATTCTCAAAGAGAACAAAGCATACTATTCCCACCCCTTTCTTAATACGCCCCTGCACAAAGTTGCTGCATGTTCCTGAGAGGAGCATGTGAATGGTGCAGACACAGAGGAAAGCTGAGAACCACTGATGTTAGAATATTTTGTTTGCAAGCTGGGATTACTGATCGGAAAGGGTTTCATCTTGTACGATATAGCCAATAATTCATTTCGCCTCTCTTTGAGTATTCTCTTTAACAAGGAACTCATCAGGACCACCAAAGGAACACAACTTCATTTTCTAACAGTGTTGTCAGAAAATTCCTATATTGAAGCAAAGATGTGCTAAGCTAGTTGGGGTTCTTCTGTTTACTCAATATTTACTGAGCCCTTGAATGGACCCGGAGGACCGAAGGAATGGATGACTTGAGTTAGGGATTGGAGGGGCAGGTGGAGTAGAAAAACACGGAGGATTATCAGTGAAGAAGTTGAGGTGGCTGGCAAGAGTGAATGCAGGGGGATTTTTTCCTATAGGGGTAGAAGACAAATAGTCAGGGAGCTCTGTGGATCATGGAAAATAACCAGTTGCCACTTGAGTCAATAGGGGATCAGTGATGAGAGGAGAGGAAACAGAAGAAGAGGGTGGTGGTTCTGTGAGGCAATTCAGGCTTTAGGGGAGGTTGACACTGAAGTGGCTGGGGCTCAAAACAGCACAGGAGGAAAGACAGAGAGGCCACCAGTGGCAGGCAGCTTTGGCAGGGACTAAGCGGGGGAGAAGGCGAAATAGAAGGCATTATGAAAAGCAACGAGAAGACAAGTGCCTACGAGAGCCTGCACCTTGGTTGTTTGTAAACAACCGATCACAATCCAGGAAGACAGTGCTAGATTAGAGATACACATACAATGCCAAAATAAACCCAGACTGTGAAGAGTGCCTGTGTTCATCCTAACAACCTGACTTCCCAAGCACTGTTCTAAGCCCTTTAAGAATATTAATTTTTTATTCTTCTAACAACTCCACGATGTGGGTAATATTTATATCCCCATTTTATAGATGAGGGAACTAAGTAAAAATAAATAAATAAAATAAAATAAAATAAAATAAAATAAAATAAAATAAAAAAGAACCCGAATCACCCAGATAAGTACTGCAGAAGGCTTTAAACCCAGCCAGTCTGACTCCAGGGACCACACGCTAAGCCTCATAGTGTATTCTTCCCACTTTGATTTTCTAGGGCCTAACACAATGACTGGCCCATAGTAAACACTGGAATACTTGTTAAAGGGTTGAAGGATCCCTAGCTTTTGTGGGCTCATAGAGACAAACTAAGAAGGATCTAGGGATTTGGAAAAGAACACAGATCCTGGTGGAATTCATTGGCTCAGGGGTCTGAATGGTACTTGGGAGAGCTATTTTTCCAGCCTGGTATAGATTTCCAGGTCGTGTCAGCAGGATACTGCTCCCATCAGATGCATAAGCCAACAGATACAGGCTTATCCATGACCCTGAAGGTCCAAGTCGGCTGGGCAGTCTTCCCCCAAAAATTGGATGTAGCAGAGCACAGTGTGCCCTCCTCTGAACTACAACCACTCTGATCACTGCTCTTACACCAACACTGACTTATATATTACCTGGTTCATCATATATAACCACACCGGTTTATTATATATCACATTCCCCCTTGTGGGCTGAAAATACTTACGGTCAAGGCATTTGTATTATTCATCTTGGATTCCCAACACCAAATATCATATTAAGTCACCAATATAACAGCATTAAAGCAGCCTGTGTTTTTCATTGCGGGAGAGAGGGGGAGTTACATGTTAGTCAACTCTCTACAGTGGAAGTAAAAATCACTTTGTTTAAAAGCTTTATTGTTCCATGGAGGATTTTTAGTAATAATTTGTAACCAAATTTGGCTATAATTTGATAAGTTCCTATACCTTATATTGCATTATATTTGAAATTATAAGCAATAACCTCTTGTATTCTGCTGCTGGGATATCTTATAATTTATTTGGTTCTATAAACTGACCTTTCACCTCTTAAATGTTCTCATTAGCATAAATTTTTAAAAAAACACAAATAACCCTATCCTAAGGGCATTGCACTTTTTTAAGGCTTCTATTAACATGTAGCCTAATACAAAATGTTGCCTACCAGAAGCCCAGGGAACATCGCAGCCTTGCACAGCAGGCTGGATATTTGCCTTGGTGCAGTCCCCAGAATAGTGGCTGTGAGGCAGGACAGTCAGAAGTTAGGAAAATTCCTTGGCCAACTAGAATAGGGAAACTGAAACAGCTGAACAAACTGGCTGAGCAATTTCCAGCCAGATACAGGTCACCTCCCTAGAGATAACATCTAGGCCTCAGTTGTATTTCAGCTCCAGGCCCAGAAAAGCAGCAAAACCAGGTGGGCTACGCCAGGACCACTGGCAATGACGAATCCCCCCTGCCCTGGTGCTCACCAATCAGTAGAGACCACGACCCTAAAAGGGCACACCAGAAAAGGAATGCATATTCTGCTGAAAACCTCCCCTGAGACCTCCCCTAAGATTCCCGCCAGCAAAAGAGAGCTAAAAGCCTCAAAACAAAGGACCCAGTGTGTGTTTCCCCAGCCAGAAGAATGCCTATGCCTTCTCCTTCCCCCTCATCTTCCCCCACAGGCAAGCATCTCCTAACTCTAAGGGTCCCCATGAGATTCGCAACCAGGGGAACAATGGGCAGTGATAGCTCATGCTGGGCTAATCCCCTGAACCTGTCTCCAAGGCCCCCTTTTCTCTGACTTCCTGGTGAGCTAAAGCAGCCCACCTTGGCTCACTTCTTTCCTACGGCATTTCTAGAGAGCCAAGCAGAGCACCACCTAGGTCTCTCCTGTTGCTTCTTCTATCCTAGGCCCTTCCTTGGGTCCCAGATTTAAAGAAAAATACCCTCAAAGTCACCTGGCCTCCTGCTATGAAATATTTCCTGCATGAAGTCAAGAAACCATACTGGCCAGCCCTATGCAGACCTGCTCAGGGCCAGCTCCCCTGTCCTATAACAGCTGCAGGTGGTGAATTCTGGTGAATGAGCCAAACAGCTAGGTTTATCTTCAGGCTATTGCTGCATAAATGAGATAATAACACAAAACTGACTGTGGGGTCCCAGAATACTTCCTGGAGCTAATGTCCACTGTCAACCACACTCCAAGGACAGATGACTACTTCACAATGCTCTGCAAACGATGTCAAGTGTAGTCCTGAAAACACACACGACTCCTGAAGTGTGGGCAATGCATAACTAGTCCAGCTTTAGTAGTTCAACTAAGATTAAATATTTGTATGAACTCCTAAAGGTCCATCTCTATACTGAGGGGTTACTGGTAAAAGTTTAACCAACAGTCAGTCACCAAGTGATCATTCTTGAATACAGAGTATCTCATTACAGATATCAATAACAGCCAGTTGAGGAGCCATAGAAGGCTTCTGGCCACGGGAAAGATGTGACCAATACCCAGATTTAAGAAAATTAATGGCGGGGGGAGGGGGGGTAAAGTGGATAGCAGTACTGCTGGGGAGAAAAGTGGGGCTGAAATATGACAAAGGAGCCATCAGGAAAGGAAGGGGAAGCCATAGTACTAGAGGCAGATTGGATGGCAAAGGGGAAGCCATAGTACTGGAGGCAGATTGGATGGCAAAGGGGAAGCCATAGTACTAGAGGCAGATTGGATGGCAAAGGGGAAGCCATAGTACTGGAGGCAGATTGGATGGCAAAGGGGAAGCCATAGTACTGGAGGCAGATTGGATAGCAAGTAGATAACAGAGCAGATTTAAAATAATCTTTGAAGCAGAAGGAAAGCAAGGCTGTTAATACCGCCAAGGAATGTCAGGAGAAAAGGCTTGGTTGCATCAGAAGTTGCAATTTGGTGCCCTTACTACATTGACATTTCTTAAGCAGGCCCTGAAAATAGCAGAGCAGTACAGATGACCTAGAGAAGCCCAGAGACTGAATGAGACCATTAAAGAACAGAGGTGGCAGGAAATAAGAGGTTGCAGGAGAAAAAGAAGAAAAATGGGCTAGCCAGAGGACGAAACTTTGAGATTTAGTGAAGTGCGAAAATCAGGCGATCTCATGTAATCCAGACCCAAAAAAGGGCTTAAAAAAGTAGCAAATGCCACTGAAAAAAATTAACAATAAGGGCTAGAAACAGGCTGTTAGGTAACAGAGTACTGATCCAGGTGGGAACAGAAGGTAGCCTAGAAATAAGTGGGGAGAAGGATAAAGAAACAGAGACAGCAAAGGAAGTACTAGTACATAACGTAGTTTAAGTAAGAAAGCTGTTGGGTGGTAGCTTCAGAGAATATCAAAGTTTAAACTCGTTTGAAAAGAAGAGAGAGGGAGGAGGAAGTAAAAAGAGGTCAACCGAGCTCATATCAGATACTCCTGTTGGATATAAAAAGTATATCAGCATAAATTAAAGTCTATTTCAAGGGGGACAGGGTGGGGTTGAGAAACAAGAGCAAAGTAGAAAAGACGTGTAAAAAATACAATGAAGAATCAACCAGAAATAGGCAAGAAGGTTGCCAAAAATTAGAGGGCCCAGATGATGTGTTAGTTGTGGGGCATCTGTATCATTCATTGCCTGGCACCAGCAAAACCTATCCTCAGGACCAACGGTGGAGTTTACCCATGTTTGGGAATGACCAGTCGTTCAAAACTGGTTGCATTCGGGAAAATCTGGGCACCTGTTGAAAATACAGCTTCTCTCACCCTACTCCTGGAGATTCTGACTCCTAACTAGGGTGTGGCTGGGGATTTTTAATGAGCACTCCAAGTAATTCTGATGCAACCAGTAGGATGGCATTTGGAAACCAAGCACATCATCAGAAGGATCTGATACACTTTTTAAAAATACAGATTACCATCTCCTGTCCTAGCCTAGTGAATCTCACTATGCTCACATCAACAAAATGAAACACATCTTGTTTGAGTCTTTTTTCAATCAACTTTCCGGCAAAGGCATGTTAAAATTTTTTTCAGTACAAACTACACCAGAATTGAACCAAATATTTTGAAAGTCCAGAGGTAGTGGCCTTGGGCAGATACTTAATGAATGGCTATTCATTAAAAGACAACTGACTACTCTACTCTTTAAACTGCTCTTGGAAGGAAATTCAAGTAAAAAAAAAAAAAAAGATACTCTTCCTGGTTCCTGTTCCTCTAAAGGACTTTCCAATCTCAAAGTCCATCTTTAAGCAGCTTCTAACAAACATTAACAGATTGACATACATCATCATTTTATTATAAATCTTTAAACAAATTACTTGTGTAGATCACTGTTTTAAATACAGGACACATTCATTCATGTCACAAATATTATTAGCCTTAACATATATGTAAACATATAGGGTACATTGTCATTGCATAGCACTTTGCTTTTCAAAGCTCTGGGACATCTTAAAAACTAGTTGCAAGTATGTGAGAAGGGAAGCCAGAGAGACCTGGTTCAAATCCTGCTTCTGAAACTTAGGCTAGTTGTACAATATCACAAAATTAAGATTTTCTGAAACTTGATTTCTTTCTTCTGTAAATGGTAAGAATACCACCTATCTTGCTGGGTTGTCATAAAAATAAGAATTGTAAGTAAAACACACATAGTTCTGATTCAAAACCAGCATTTACCGTAATAAACAGTACTCTTATCCCTCTTACCCAGATTTCCATCACAACCCCCTCTCAACAAAGGTGAAATTAATCCTCTAGAAGTACTCATGATACTGGACTTTATGTTGAAAACCCGAGTATTCCAGCCATGGTGAGAACGTTAAAAAGAAACTCTTACTTATGGAAAGCTTGCATGTCATGATAATGTGAAGAGTCTTTTGTCACACATCATCCAGATGCTCAATAAATAACAAAAGATACACTTTTAAGTGTACTGCTGAGATAAGAAGGTAATGAAGGTTCCCAAGGATAAGAGAAAAAAAGAAAAAGAACAACAAATCTAAACCCTAGCAGCAAACTAATTTGTAGGCCCACGCTGCCGTAGGAGCAATACCATTCCCTCCAGAAACCTGAGGGTCTTGTAAGGGGAAGGGACACTTGATCTTGAGCTTCTGAATGGGAAAGGACTGAACATGAGAAACAACCTCAATGTTCCACGCTTGAAAGAGCTACACCTTTGTTAAAAGGGCAAGGTAGGAAAAATCTGCCTTCCATCAAAGCAAACTAATGAGTAAATCTGCAGACCTACACCAAGCCTAGATTAATTAATGAAGATAATGACACTGATCTCCCCTGAGCAAGCCTAAATTCAGATTTACAACATCTTCAAGTCAGGGAAATGCCTGGTTAATAGAAGTAGTCTTGGAAGTAGAAACAAACAAGTATTTTCTACAGAAAGGAATCTTCAATACACATCCTTCAGGATTCCCATAAAATTAAGGAAACATGCTACCTTGAATAATAGCAGGAAATACACACAGTCAGTAGATAAGATTTCCCTCTACCCCCAAAGGTTTCAGATATTCATACTATGGAAAGGGGGAAGGAACAGAAAAGTTGAACCAAATAAAACACAAAATAAGAAAAGTTCAATCCGACACCACACACACACATACAAAATGCCCTTTTAAATTTTTTTCCATAATGGAATTATGTGCAATAATGCCAGGTGTACTTGAATTTGAATCCTGGATAACTAAACACCAGTTTATGATTCTAAGCAAGTTAGTAAAACTTCTGTGCCTCAATTTCTTCTACTGCAAAATGGGCATAATACTGTCCTACCTACCTATTAAGATTGCTGTGAAATTTCATACACATATGTCTTCATGTGTGTATCACATAGCAGAGTTCTTTAATACACAAAACGCACTTAATAAATAGTAGCTACTGTGAACATTAATAGAGTGTCTCCTTTGTGCCAGTGATAGTGCCAGACTCTTTGGGACAGAGATGGATAATGATTCCTTGTTAGGATACTATCTGGCATGCTTGCTTTGTGCCAGACATTCACCTATATAATTGTACTTCATCCTCCCAACAGTCCTATAAAGTACTATTTTCTCCATTGTCCAGATGAGGAAACTAAGAAATGAGTTAAGAGTCTTGGTCCAATTCACACAACTAGTAATGAAAGTGCGACTAGAACTTGGGTGCTATATGTCCCCAAAGCCTGTCTTAATTACCTCACCTCTCTCTTTTCCCTATTTGAGAAGATTCACATTCAGCTACGTATGGAGAATGCAGTTGGTAGACTTTTTTTCTTTCCTTTCTTTTTTCTTTTTTTGGCCAAAAAGCAGAGAACTCTAAAAATAGTGGGTTTCACAATCATCATAGAATATAACACAACACCATTAAACTGAATTCTCTGCTAAATTCTTGACATCTCAGTTTTTGTTCCTTCTTTGAAAGGGAAAGTAATAACAATTTGATTATGAGTATGCAATGAGTCTAAACATTGTGGTTTTCATATGTAAATACTTTTTTAGGTACTATAGATTGGCACTTCTTAGGAATTTAAACCTTGTTTACTTTTTGATGAGAAGATTCTATTTATATAATGATAGATAGTTGGATGAGACTTAATATTGAGTAGCAGATTTGATTAAAACAAGGAAGCACTTTCTAATTGTTTTACCCCACCAAATTGAATAAGGTGTGGTCATTCAATAGTTTAAGACTACCTGTCAAAACACCAGATAATTCTCCAACAGATACTACAGACTATATTACGGTAAAGAGAAACAACTATACCCAGGAAGACACAGTAATTACTTTTCAGCCCTAATAATAATGGCAGCAAAAACTTGGGAGTTCATGTTTAGAAAAAGAAAAAAAGAAAGGGGACGGGAGGTGCTTTGAATTTTCTCTGAATAAAAAATAGAATAGAGCCCTAGTCAGTTTGGCTCAGTGGATAGAGTGTTGGACCCTCTAAAGCAGGGGTCCTCAAACTACAGCCCATGGGCCACATGCAAATACAAATATTGTATTTGTTCCCGTTTTGTTTTTTTACTTCAAAATAAGATATGTGCAGTGTGCATAGGAATTTGTTCATAGTTTTTTTTTAAACTATAGTCTGGCCCTCCAACGGTCTGAGGGACAGTGAACTGGCCCCCTGTTTAAAAAGTTTGAGGACCCCTGCTCTGAAGGATCTTGGGTTCGATTCCGGTCAGCCCCCGACCTCACATCAATGTTTCTCTCTCTGTGTCTCACTCCCTTTCACTCTCTCTAAAAATCAATGGGAAAATATCCTTGGATAAGGATTAACAACAAATAGAAAAGGAAAAGAAAAAAAAAGAGAACTCTTTCTTTTATAAGCACAGTACCTTGTAGAAATGTTTATAGGCTGCCACAGCACTACTCACTCCTAGTTTGAGAAGGGCAATATTATCTTTTGCTCAGAATTTGAAACTATGAGGTGATTTTAAGTAAAGTGATATAAAAGGCTTGGATTCCATTACCCTCAAGTTTGAAGACAGCTGATGATTAAGACATTGGGTAGCTCAAACAATTGAAAAATGGATTGATAAATAACTTCAACACAAAGCAATGCAGTTTCACTTTAAAAGGAAGATGAATCACCTAAATCTGGAAGAGATTTCAGAGATTATTTCCCCAGTGTCTTCATTTTGCCGATGAGGAAATCCAGACCTGAAGCACTGTCATTCGGTTACTTGTTTACATTTTTTTCTCCTATCACTATTTCTGCCCTTAGCTATTGTGGCTATAAATTCATCATAATTGTAAGCCATCATCATATTTTTCTGCCCTATGACTACTACAGCTTCAGGACAAGGGCTATTTTTAAACCTCCAACGCCTATCACATTCAAGTCATCACAAGAGCTTTGCTAAACCAGAACAAAATGAGTGAAAGTGAGTTAAAGTATCTGTATTCCTGCTGCTTAAATAAGGGTTTTGCCTCATAACTTGGTCTACATACGTGACACCTCTGGTTATGGCACAATAAGAGCACAAAATAAGGTCGAGGGGGGTTGTAAAGAAAAGTTCTGCAGATCAAGAAAAATATCTCTAGTGTGTTCTACATAGTTTCACGTTCCCCTGGGGAGAAAGGAATGCCTTTGAAGAGCTGAGGCGACGCGGGCTTGCATAGACCATCTTGCTCATTTCTTCCAATACTACGGTTCAATGAGAAGTCAGAACTCAACATCCCGCATTGCTGGTATCTCCATTTGTCAGCACGAAAACAGCAGTGAGAATTAAGTTTCTTGATAGTAGGAACGTTTTCCCTCGTGAGAGGCTTGCAGCTACTCACGCTCACGGTGGGAGTGGAGGGGTTGTTTTCCAAAAGGGAAAACGCGGAGCACTCAGGTTAGCTGGTCCTCGGCCACTCAACAGCGAGGCTGCCAGACCAGGGTGACCATCTGCCTCCCCATCCACTAGTCCTTCACGAGGACGTGCCGAAAGCAAGAATTTAGCGAAGAAACGTAAACGTTGGTATTCAGAAAATGGGCACGATAACCAAACTTTTAAGAGTGGTACATCTACTTCCGGAATTCTCTGAGAATTGACCTCCAAGGCAAGCGCAGCCTAGGCGGGCTCCTGCCCAAGCAAGGTCCTCGGGGGAAAGGGACAAAATAGGGAAGACGGGGGGTGGACAGCGCAGCCCCTGGGAAAACCTCCCCGGCTGGCTCCCCTTGCAGCCGGCAGACCGAGCGCACCGACCGGGCGCGTCCCACGCCTGAGCCCACGCCCCCTGCCCATCCCTTCCCTCCCGAGGCACTTACCTGTGGTGCCCGCGGGTGACGGGGTCCTGAAGGCGGCCGTCTCGGCCCATCCCGAGTGCGGCGAGGGCCGACTCCAGGGTCTGGGGGTCCCGTGCAGCAGGTAGGCGACATTGGACTTCCGCCGGATCGCCACCCGCCTGAAGTCGTAGCTGCCCTTGCTGCTCACCCGGCCGGGCTCGCTCCCCGCTCCGCACTCTCTCCCGCCCTGGTCCGGGCGCGAGTGGGCGCTCGCCGCGCTCCGCAGGGGCAGCCCGGCGCGGGGGGGTGTCGCCTGCATGCCCACGCTAGGCGCGACTCGAGGGGGGCGACTCGGGGCTGCTCCGCGCGGCGCCCCGCGGCTCCGGTGGCTCCTGGGCAAGTCTTCCTCGTCCCTTCCTGCCCGGGACGAGGAGGGCCGCCCAGGGGGGCGCTCGCTCCCTGCGGCTCCCGCACTCACCTGGCGCCGCTACTGCAGCGGCCGGGCTGGGGCTGCTTCCACCCCCTTCTCTCCGGAGCCCGACGCCGGAGGCCCTGGGGGAGGGACGGGGAGCGCGCAGAGCTCAGGCCGCTGGAGCCGCCAGCGCCACGGCCTCCGCCTCCTCTTCGGGCCGGGAAAGCTGCCAAGGACGCGCGGTGCCTAGTGGAGCGCCCTGGGCGCGGTCTGGAGCGCGGTCCGCACTGGAGGCTCCGCCCCGCCGCCGCCCCGCGCTCGCCCATTGGCCGAGAGCAGCCGCGAGGCGCTCACCTGCCGCCGCGCACCTGGGGCCCCGAGGTGGCTACGCTCACCTGCGCCCCAGGCTTGGGAGAGAGGAGATAATTACAGCGTCTTTGGACTCTGCCCCAAGGCTTCCTGTTCTCACAGACCCACACGACAAGGATCTCCCGTGTGTCTCAACTGCCGAACCGAGCCCTGAATAATAATCGTATTTACGTCGTGGAGCTAACCAGCGAGTTCGGTGTTTTAGATAAGCAAGCCAAGATGCGGAAGCGACAAGGAGCAGAGCTGATGAGTACCGCCTTCAGACCTGGTTGCTGCAGCCTTGCCAGGAAACTAGTCTTCGCCAAGTGCCAGCTGGAGTGCACAGGGGCCGGTGGAGGGGCCTGGAGCCTGGACCATGGGAGATCCACTGTACACACAGGAGCGGGCAGCCCGGAATCACCCCTCCCCTAGGAATTAACACAGTGACAGAAGACTATGGACTGATTCATGCTCCTTACATTTTATTGTTATATTTTCCAATGTAGCAGAAAGTATATGTATACTGGTGTGTTTTAATTCTAATTAAAATGTTTTAAACATTCTATTTAATTTCATCAACATAACCTGTCTCAGACTGATCTAGTTCCTAATAAACAAAATAAAACCAAAAAAGAATACTCAGAATAAAAATAATGAACTAATAAGTTGTTTCAACTACTGGTAGAACATCACTTCCCACATTAGAATTTAATAGAAGTCAGTACTTTACAGCAGATTCACTCTTATTTCAATCTCACTGGAGAAAGGTGAAAAATTTCTTTCATTTTAATAATAAATCGTGTTATTTCCTCAGTAAATGAATTATAAATGTTACGTTTTTACTTTGATGCTTTCACTAAATATGATTTCATATAAATATCATTAAAGAAAAAAAGGTCATGAAAGGCATAAATGATGCTGACTTTATTCAGCAGCATTAGGGGGCTGACATACAGCAGATAAGTTCATGAAGATCTAATTGAAGAAGAGGATACAGTTATATTTTAACAGGAACTGAATGGGAGAACATATTTGTCAATAATACATCTAGTAAGTTCTTAATATTCAAAATATAGAAGGAACTTATAAAACTCAACAACAACAAAATAAAATAAACAATTTAATTAAGAAGTGGGCAAAAGATCTGAATAGACATTTCTCTCAAAAGGACATAAAGATGGCCAATTGACATATGAAACAATGCTCAACTTCACTAATCATCAGAAAAATACGAATTACAACCACTATGAGATCACCTCACATCTGTCAGAATGGCTATCAGTAAATAAATAAGCAACAAGTGCTGGCAAGGATGTGGAGAAAAGGGAACTCTCTTGCACTGTTGATGGGGATGCAGACTGGTGCATCCACTGTCACAGGCAGTATGGAGTTACCTAAAAGAATTAAAAATGGAACTGCCTTATGACTCAACAATTCCACTTCTGGGAATACATCCAAAGAAACCTGAAGCACTGACTCAGAAGAACATAAGCACCCCTAGGTTCATTGCAGTGTTATTTACAATAGCCAAGATTTGGAAGCAGCCCAGTGACCATCTGTAGATGAGTGGATAAAAGAGGCATGGTACATTTACACAATGGAATATTACGTGGCCATAAAAAAGAAGGGAAGGAAATCTTATCTTGCAACAGCATGGATGGATTGAGAGGGTATTTTGCTAAGTGAAGCAAGCCAGTCAGAGAAAGACAAGTACCATATGATTTCACTTATATGTGGAATCTAATGAACAAAATTAACAAATAAAATGGAAATAGACTCATAGAGAGAACAGACTGCCAACTGTCAGAGCTCCGGGAGGGTGCTTGAGGGGGCTAGGTGAGAAAGGTGAAGGAATTAAATAAAAAAACAAAACCAAAAAGTTGCTCATAGACAATAGTATAGTGATTACCAGATTACCAGAGGAGTAGAGGAAGTAGAAGAAGAAGGTAACGGGGGATAAATGGTGATGGAAGGAGACTTGGCGTGGTGAACACACAATAAAATATACAGATGATGCATTATAGAATTATACACCTGGAACCTATATAATTGTATTAACCAATGTCACCCTAATAAGTTTAATTAAAAAATAAAACCAAATAAATAAATACAAGGAGCCCATGGCCTACTCACCCTCTCCCTACTCCTGCTTTTACATGTGGTTCTGTAAGGATGCAGATGTAAGTCCTGAGCTGCTGCAGCCATCTTGTGACCAGCAGGGGAGATGTCATGGATCTACTGAGGGTAGCTGAACAGAATGATGAAAGAACCCAGGCTATTGCTGAGTTCAACACAGTACTGAAAACCCCCAGAAACTCCCTACCTCGTAAATCCTTGATAAGTGGCAAAATAAACTGTCCTTATTGTGAAGCCACTGTTAGCCAGACATTTTTGTTAATGTTTAGCCAAAAGCGTACTGATACAAGAAAAATAGTTTATCCAAATTTTAGGAAATTTGTTGTGCAATTATAAAGCTATGTATTTAGCCCTGGCTGGTTTGGCTCAGTGGATAGAGCATCAGCCTGCGGACTGAAGGGTCCCAGGTTCGATTCCAGCCAAGGGCACATGCCTGGGTTGCGGGCTTGATCCCCAGTGGGGGGCATGCAGGAGGCAGCCAATCAATGATTCTCTCTTATCATTGATGTTTCTATCTCTCTCTCTCCTTCTCCCTTCCTCTCTAAAAAATCAGTAAAATATTTTTTTTTAAAAAAAAAAGGTATGTATTTAATGTTTTATTACTACTGCTTAGCACTGTTTTAGTTTAGGAATTCCACATATTCCTTTGTTGTTTTCCGATGAGAACATCTAGAAAGGGTCAGCAAATTGTGATTTGTGGGCCAAATCCAGCCAATTCCTTGCTATTTTTGTATGACCGATGAACTTATGGTATTTATTTATTTATTTATTTCATTTAAAAAATATTTTTATTTATTTCAGATAGGAAGGAAGAGGGAGAAAGAGTTAGAAACATCAATGATGAGAGAGAATCATTGATTGGCTGCCTCCTGCACGCCCCCCACTGGGGATCGAGCTCACTGCCTGGACATGTGCCCGTGACCGGAATCGAACCAGGGACTCTTCAGCAGCAGGCCGACGCTCTATCCATTGAGCCAAACTGGCTAGGGCCTGATAGATGGTTTCTAATATGTTAACTTGGGGCGGGGGGGGGGGGGGATCAAAAAAATATTTTGTGATACATGAAAATTATGTAAAATACAAATTTCTATGACCATAAATAAAATGTTATTGAGCTCAGCCAGCAGTTTATGGCTGTTTTCCCACATCAGTATTGAGTAGTTGAGATAGAGACCAGATTGACAACAAATCTGACACTGGCCCTTAACAGAGAAAGTTTGTTGACCCCTAATATAGATGAAAATAAGAATCTTATATGAAAGTTTTGTTTCATTTTTGAAAAATTATTAAACTATTATCAAAAACTGTAATTTAAGCTCTGACATATTATGCCTTTGTACATTCCATAACAAGGTCAACAGGTGACACACTGAAGCTACAAGACTGTAGCCAATCTATAATTGTAAATTTACCTCTTTCTCCAGTGACGCCATTGCTTTATTACAAATTCACACATCTATAGGCATTTGCAGTAGTCCACATAACTGCATCATTAGAATACAAAATAAGCATATTCAAAACAGCCCTGAAATTATTCATGAAAAAGAGACAAAGTATAAACTGAAGTCAGTGATGTTATTTATGTAATACCTCAAATAGAGGTTTTTTTTTTTCCAAAGTAGACACAAATATGTGATAAGCATTTCATGAGAATATTGACAATCAGAAATATTTTTAAAATCATGGAATAAACATTTTCATGCTAACATACTCAAATGATTATAAGAAAACAGACTCCTTATTTTTGAGTCTCCAAAATGCAAACCTGAAACTGTGGAATGTGTCCCTTTCTACCATATTCTGTATTTATGTATAGCTTTGTCTGATTTTCTTTCTAGACTATAAGCTCCTGAAGGCAGTCTAATTCCTACTTGTATGCTCTGCAGCATCTTTTATAGTAGCTTTCACAAAGTAAAATACTTATTGAAACTAACTGAAGACAAATGCATGACAGGAAAAACTCTTCATGACTGTGAACAGTATTCTTCCTGAAGGAATGGATCCTAAGTAAATAGTCAGAAATTTAGATGACATAGATGACAATTTCTGTATAAAATTTTTGATAAAGTGTTTTTTTTATATAATATATTTTTATTGACTTTAGAGTGAGAGGAAGGGAGAGGGAGAGAGACATAGAAACATCGATGAAAGAGAAACATCAATTGCTGCCTCCTGGGGATCAAGCCCAAAACCCAGGCATATGCCCTGATGGGGAAAAGAACCTGTGACCTATTGGTTCATGGGTTGATAATCAACCACTGAGTCACACCATTCAGGCTTTGTATAAAAATTTTAATAGTATCTTTATTTGTGATAGTAAAGGTGTGGAAGCAATTTACATATCAATAAGAGTCTTCTTTTTTAAGAAGTATAATTCATCCATGCTAAAGAATATTTTGCCAGCCTTAAAAATAATGTCATTGATAACTTTTAATAACATAGAAAAATATGTTTAGAGAGAAAATGTTTAGAGAGAAAAACAGGATTCAGAATTGTATATTCAGTATGATTCAAGGAAAGGCACCAAAATGTTAACAGGAGTTTTCATTGAAAGTTAAGATTATAGGTAAATATAATTTTCTTTTTATGTTTCCACACCTTCTAAATGTTCTACAATAAACATGTATTACTTTTATTACTAGGAAAAGAAAAAAAAGTTGGGGAAATAAATGAATGGTGTGGGCAGAACCTCATCTGTGACCAATCTGCAGGAAAATAATCTGATTAATTCTAGGTGAAATGACTGTTCTTATCCTGAACTGAGCAGGTCTCTCCCAGGCTGTGAGGGAGAGATGTGACTCCCGTCCAAGGACAGAGAAGCTCTGCCGGGGACAAGTGTGATGAGCAAAACTGGGCTGTGAATCTTGCACCTAACAGGCTGACACTGCCTCCGTGGCCTCACTGGTGTGATCTTCACTGACCCGGCCAATTATTATCTGTGTCTTTGCTGATCTAGAAGATATGTAAGAACAAAATCAGTCGTTAAATAATATGCTCAATACCTTAGGCAGTTTAATAGACACAGTCAGAGGCTCTCTGTGCTTATTGTCAGATTTTTATCAGATGTATTCTGGTACATATTATAACTGTATTATATTGTATTCATATGTCCTAAATAACGGACTTCTCTAGAAGCATCAATATTGTTTAGTATAGAGCTGAAAGCACCATTACTTCCACATCTTTTCCAGTTTTTCATGTTTTGTAGTTGGTATGATTTTGCTCAATTGGTTGATCTTAAAGGAAATTTTGAGATTCCACTCATGCATATAGTATGTGGTCAATAAATGTTCATCTACAAACTGCCACAAGAGTTTTTAGTAGTGATTAGTTTGTAGAAAAACACTGCAGGTTTAATAGTCAGATGCAAAGTTATTACCATGAGAATGTAAGAACAGATTGATACCTACCTATTGAAATTATTGGA